GCATAGGATGTTGTTCAGGAGATGAAGCAGGTTTGATTCCAGGTTTCTTTGTACTACATGTTATGGAGTCCCTGGTTAAAATACATTAAAAAAACCACTACCTTAATACACGAGATGTACAAGTGCATGTGATATTTAAGAAAAACATCTGCAGTCAGGATGCCCTCTGTCGGGGTTTTCCGATTTTTTCTATTTTTGGAACTTCCATCCATCCACCAAGCCAAAAACAGAGCCAGTAGGTGGCACTAATGCAATTAAAAAGTGTAAAAACTACCATTAAAACTTAGAGTGGTCCTCACTACAGTCATTCTGACCCATCATTTGACCCTGGAAGCTGCGTCTCTTGTGTTTGTTTTCTTTTGTAACTACACCTTTCTATACAGCAGCACGGAGTGTTAGTTTCAAATGGATTATTTTGCAGTTTTTCTCCTTTCATTTGTAATTGTTGTTTAAATTACTGAAAAACTTTAAACATTTCTAAAAAAAAATTAATCACAACAAAAAGACAGACATCTTGGATTGTAAACAGAAATGGAGCAACAGAGGAGCAGGAGTACACAGTATAACAGTACATCACAGTAATGATTAGAGAGAGTGAAGGCCTTTAAATAGAGAGTGCTGTGGATGAGTGGAGACGATCGTGTGCACCGAGGGTCAGCCAAGTACAGTGACACGGTTTGGCTTTCTGCCCTCATCTCTGTGGGTGGTTTTAGTGAGGATTGGAAAAGACATGTGCTGTGAAGTGCAGTAGCATTCCTCTCTGCACTGACACCAGGATAATTACCCTCGGCCTGTCAACAGGAGATCACCCACCGGCGGAGGGGAGATGGTTGGTGGGCGAGGTGGGGGTGTCAAAAATATTTCTTCAAATCCAAACCTGAATGGAAAAGAGAAGAAAACGTCACAAACATTTCGTCACAAACAATCATGGACTGTATGTAGGAATGGGAAAGAGCCAAAGACGGGACATTTACCAGCAGATCTTGGATACAAGTGGACCAAGAATCTCTCCCCCATTACAGATGTCAGAAGGTCCAGGTCTTCTACAATGAATAAAAACATCAGTTTGTAAAAACCATCGCAGCTCGGAGGAGAGTGAAAACAGACAATGGTTTGTCCATCCGTCAATCACTGCAGTGATTGATGGACGTTCTGTCCAACAGGACTCTGGATGTGTCCTGTTGACAGTGAACTGTTGACATTGATGAAGCCCACTCTCCCATATGAGCTCACAGCTGTCAATCATACACAGGGTCAAATGGGGTTTTTTTTTCTCCACATTCAAACCTCACAGAAACACATATGTATAATATATGTATATATATTATATATTCTATTCTAACTATTACCAGGTATAAATATATCTGGACAATTTGCATTAAATACTCTCTATTTAATTATACAAATGTTCATGTCTAGATGTACCTCTGGGCTGAAGCTTAACAGTGTTTGATTATTAAAAAAAAACAACAACAAAAAGAAAAACCTCCCGCAGTGCTCCATCGAGAAAAATATGGCAGGAAAAAGAGAGTTAGTCATAGAATGCGGAACATTTCTTTCAGAGTTGTCCATTACTGTAGGGCTTGAACAATGGAGGCGGAGGTGGAGGTGGAGGCGGCGTCCAGCCTGTCAGCTTCAAATGGGTTATAAAATGTCTTCGGTCTCGCAGTCTGGGCTCTGAGATCTTTGTCCTCCTTCACGGGGAGGTGACAGGGTAGGAGTGGTTGCCTTTGGACCTGCTGCGAGAATTGACCCTGGGCAGGTAGAGAGTGTGACATGAAATTACAGAGCTGAAGCTGCCCATGCCATTTACAGTGGTTTTCTCTGACTGTGGACATTTACTGCCGTGGCTACTGTACAGACAAGACAAAAAAATAAATCAAATTTCTTCACATTTAAAGTTAAGTTGGGTGTATTTCTCTTCTTTCTGACTAAGGACTGATTCATTTCTGTTTGCTTACTCTTTAATTCTTCAAACCTCTACTAATTGTTTTAAAATAGCTTTAAAGTCATTCTCACTAATGCGAACCCTCTTTGAACTTCAGGGGAAAATTTGTGACTCGAAACGATACACGTTCTCAAGAAGAAATGTAGTTTTGTCGTCTTCACAAATGACTGTACTTTCACAGCTCATTCAATAACTGAATTCTGCATGTAGATGTTTTTTTTTTAATGAAAGATTCTCAGGATTTATTACAACCTCGAGCAAAAACAAGTGTCCTTAACTGTACTCTAAATCATACGTTTCACTGTTTGTTCCTTTCATGTCTCCATCATTCAGCTCCTCACCGTCTTCATCTGTCCTCGGAACAATAAAGACTCAAATATCACTCAAACCACCGCACGATTAACCACACAGATGGAGAGAGAGAGCCTCTCCACAACGCTCAGACACAGAAAAAAAAAATCCTGTTTTCACGTTGGGAATTACTCAGACGGTAATAGATGAAGTGATAAGACAGTGTTAGACTGAGAGGCTGGATAGGAAGGAGGGGGGAGACAGAGGGTGAGGGGGATGAATGAAGGCTGAATAGAAGGTGATGAATGAAATGACCGAAGGCAGCAGGAAACAGAGCAACACCCGGAGAGGGAGAGAAGTGGATTTTAAATTACATGGTGGCTCATGTCAGCAGCCATAATTAGTAGCTTGGTCAGGTGTTGTGAGTGCTACAGGAAGCAGCGAGGAAGGACATAACACCACAGAAGAACGGGAGCCCAATCAGCTGCATGGAGCAATATGAATTTTCCTCCACAGAGGAGAAAGTGAAGAGTGTGGAGAGACGGAGCGTGAAAAAATGCACGTCTCTCACAAGACATGCAAACAAGTCTGTTGTTCACTGCAATTTGTGTGTGTGTGTGTACGTGCCGTGTGTCAAACGTGTGGATGACACACCTGAGCATTCAGACGGCTCTCAAAGCCTGCGGCCAGGAAGTCAAGACAAATATTGTCTTAAGAGAAAAGAAACAACAAGATGGAAGTGATCCTGGATTTAAAAGAACAAAAACATGGCAGAAGTTTTCATACAGAACTCGTCTCAGAACTCGAGAGTCCTCCTGTGACAACGCAGGACAAATTGAGTTGTCGTCCACCACCTTGATTTAAAAGGCAGAGCGTTAGAGTGAAAATCTTACGTTAATAACTCGGATAATATTTTCAAAATATATATATAACTGTTTATATTCCGAAGCTTATGTTACCTATTTGCCAAATCTTAGATTATTAGTAAACCTTAGCTTTTTTTTCCTAGCCCAGCTGTCTTTAGCTATTTTTTAAATAACATATTTAGAAGCTAAATTAAAGTTATGCTTCAAGTTCTTTTTTACACAGAATAGTATCAGAGTTTTAAAAAATATTTGTATTCATTTTAATACCTTAATTGTGTAAATATTTAGCTGTTTCTGTTTTGTTACTTTAGCCGTTAAATTGTCTTAGTTGTTAGCTTTGAGTTAACAATATGCCACAGATTATTGTGGTTCTGTTTGGTTAGTTTTGTTATTATGTTATTTTATAATAATATATATTCTCATGTTATAATGTTTCATAATGTTTACAATTACGGGCTCTCCAACATCACACTTTCACCCACTTTTCCAGCTGATGTTGAGTCAGTCTTTAATCTGCAGTCGGAGAATCCTCTCTGTGATACAATTTAAGCCCGTCAGCAAACAAGCGTGACGTTTTTTTTTTTTTTTTAAATGTCAGCTTAAACTGTGGCAAAGTGAACTTTTTTTTAAATTTTTGAATTTCAAGTTCTGCGTGTGAAGAACACAGTGACCTCATGTTGTTTATTTTTGCTCTTCTCACCTGAGCCGGACAACAAAACGTGAAAAAGTGTTCAGAGGAGGTTGGTGATGATGCATTTGTCTGATCCGGACATAGCTATGTGACAGTCAGCCTACTCCCCCCCTTTTACCCTCCCCCGGAGAAAGCAGCCTCACACAGCCTGAGGCAGCAGAGTGTCATTCATACATACATACATATACACTCACAAACACTCTCCAAGGAGGAGTCATGGGGCAAAGGGGAGGAGGTGGAGGAGGGAGCACGAGAGGAAAGGGGAGTGTATCTCTCTCTCTCTCTTTCTCTCTCTCTCTCTCTCTCCTGTTTTGAGTCTATCAAACATACCTTCACCTCCCTGTAAGAGGCTGGAGTACGAGTCAGATGCTGCAGTTGCAGAGTTGGTGCCACTCAGGTAGACACCCACAGAGAGCAGCATCCGTCTGATCACAGACTCCCGGCGTTCCAAGGAGGGCACGGACAGCCTTCCCTATGTGTGGCTCCTCTCAAGGCTCCACGGTAAGTGTTTGGATTTATTTTCATTCTTCTTTCGCCATGAGATGTGATGAAACTGGAGGTCCCTGTGTGGAGTCAACCTGTTGCACGGCCACACAGCTGTGTGACTTTTGACTCATGTCTCAATTTCTCAGATCATGTTTTCTGCCATGTCAGTGTTCAGCAGTTTCAGAGTGACTTGACGGTGAGAGTCTGAGTCAGCTGTGGTGGGGAAAAAAACAGTATATGTTTATAAAAATATAGGGGTAAATTTGCATCTATTATCATCTTGTTGGATTTTGGATTTTTAAGGTAGACGAGGCCGGATTGAAATTATGGAACTCAAATTATAAGTGAATAAATTATAATACTTCTTACGAATTAAAAATAAAAAGGAGATAACACTTTGAAAAAAGACACGGACAATAATGGGTTATATGCTTTAGGCAAATCTTGGGGGTTGTCTTCAGGAGGAAACTCTCTTATCTGTCACTATCTAGGCAGCAAAGTGATGAATAATTTTAACAGTGACCTCTTGAACACACGTGTCAAGAAGAGTTTAGGAGAAAGACTTCAGACCTACCAAGAAGAACAAGACTGACAGGAAAGCAACAGACAAAAGAGGACGGACATTCATAATCCGGCTCTTTGCCAAGTCTGTGAGTCGGAGGAAGTCTGAGCACGAGGTTTCCTTGTGAAAGTTGTCCTAGGAACCTTCCCCGGTCGTAGATTCGGATACAACAGGACATGTGGGACACAGAGGACCGTGGGGCCACACCGGACAGTCCCACTTTGAAGTTGGCTGTCTGGTAATTCCAACTGATGGCAGGGTTTTCTACAGGTGGCCCTACCTTGATACTGATACTATGATGTATGATGTTTTCCCTCAGCCACTAGGACATAAAGTCCCTTCAAACTTTACAGAGCGATGGACATAATCATTCACCTCCAAACTCTCCTCCAGGTCTCTTCATCTGCCACCCTTCAGTTTCCCAGAGCCATGTTGAACACAGAAAGTTCACCACAAAGCGACGGCATCCCCGCTGTGACGATGACACAGCCGCAGGATGTGGACATGACCTTGTGGAGCGAGGCAGAGTTTGAGGAGAAGTGCACGTACATTGTGAAGGACCAACCTCTGGAGCAAGAGTCCGAAAGCGACGGCGGGATAAAAGCCAAGAGAACTTTACCCAGAAACCTGGCCTTGAAGCGCCGCAACGGCTCAACGGAGGTGAGCTCTAATTTATGTGCAAACAGGCTTCTGGGGCTGCTTTATGTCTCCTCTTACTCTGACTACTCCTTGCGTCAATCCGGCTTCCTTCCCTCTACTCATCCATCCTCAGGCAGGAAGTACTCCACATGTTGTTGTCTAATTTCAGCCCTTCCTCTGCATCCGTGTGTGTGTTCAGGACAGGGACAATAGCCGAGCCCCTCAGCACACTGCCTGAGGTGCCTATGATTAGACGCTACCTTAGATTCTCAACTCTTTTGTCCCAGCATGCAATTACACCATAAAGCTGAGCTCACAAGCTGGAAACGATCTCCTGCTTTAAGAGTTTGGCTGTAACAGTTGAACATCGCTTCTTCTTGACTACTAAAATGACATGAGGTGATATTTAAAAAAAAAAAGAAAGAAAAGAAGCACCATTAGGCTATAGGTGGCTGTTATTTAAACACTCTAGTCAGGTGAAACCAGCGTTGGTTACCACTTGACCCCATGTCTGGAGTCAGGACCAGAGATCGGAAACAACACACACTACTCCAATCCCAGTGAGATAGACCAAGCACGCAACAGACACCGTGCTGGTTCTGTGACGAAAGAGAGATGAAAGAGGGAGAATACATTACCATCGCTCCGGGGGGGTTTGGTCACAGAGCTCAAGGTGCAGTTGACTGGTCGGGGTGTGCCCATGACACCTTATCCTCTCTTCCCCACCCTGGAGGCCTGAGACGCAGGAGTAAGTTTCACACCTGCAGGTAGCTGAGCAAGAGTGGTGGTGAAATTTTAATATGGTAAGAGACACTAAAGGTAACCCAGGAGAACGGCTTGTGAAATATTCAGTGTGAGAAGGCAGTCGTCCGTAAGGTCACAGCCTTTTGTCCCAGCGTTTTCTCATTTTGACTGTTGAGATTTTGACTGGAAGTCTGTTTGTCACACGTGTGTCCTCAGGTCAGTAATTTTCTGGTGAATTGTCCTGACCTCATGGTTAGTCATCAGGAACAGATAGAGACAGGTGGTGATGACTAGAGCAGGAAGACTCCCAACCCCGCTGAAGTCTCTTTCCCAATGTGTAGAAAAATTACAACTGAAAAGAAATGACTAAGACAGATGTTTGTTCCACCATAGCAAGCAAAACAGTCACAGAGTATTGTCTCTCCATCCCTCCTCCTCTTCCTCTATTCATTCTACAGTTGATAACCTGCCAATAAAATTCAAATTCGAAACATTTTTCTTTTTTCTTACACCAACACCTTCATCGTCTTTCTGCAACTCGTGCTGCTTTCTGAACAAACCCCGGCGTGTACACCTGATCATTTCACTGTAAAACAAGTGTAATTCACTTCGTGACCTACTCTGTGGTCTGATGATTCTGTTTCCTCTAAAACAGGTGCTGGGAGTGACAAGTAAAGAGCTGATTCCCAAGGGGACACGTTTCGGCCCCCTGGTGGGAGAAAAGTACACTGACGAAACCCTGCTGACAGGCGCTGACAGAAAGTACTTTTGGAGGGTGAGTGCGTGGCATTAGGATTTTTCTTCTTGCATGTGAAACTCGTCAGCTTTCGTGTCAAAACCCTTCACATCCTGCGTCTCCAGCTGGAGCCGCTGCGATGGCAGCTGTCGTGGCACAAGCAGAGAGTTGTGGTCAGAATCTGACATCCTGAAGATATGTTCAGCTCTCTCTGTCACTGCTCGATTTCACTAAACGGTTTCCAAAAGAGCATGCAGTGTTTGCCAGTGTTCTGTGCATGGGTCTCTGAGGTCACATTACACGCACAGCTGTTTGGTTTCTGTGACGCAGCGTTTCTCTTCTATCTGCGCCTCCCTCAGCAGCGGTGTCTCTACCAGTAAATACACCATCTACATGTCCACGCTCTACCAGACTCACAAACTCTCACACTGACTAAGCAAGGAAGTGGCTTTGAGCCTGAGAACTGCTACAGACTCAGCAGAGTCAGGACGTCAGGACATCGCGAACAGGCGTGTGTTTTAATTTTTCAGCTTAGAGTCAGCAACCTTGAAATTAGGCAACCACAACCAAATCTTACACTAGCCATAACACACACACACACACACACTTTGTTTTTTAACTCAGCCATGACTCAAGTGAAAGCAAAGCATCAAAGAATAGACGTATTCATCCAAAGGGAAGGAGAAGGGAGTATTTAAATGAGCTGAAGCTAAGCAATCTCTCAGTTGGGAGGATGGTCGATGAGTGTGTCCGTGGGCGACACAGACGACCTGATAGTACTACAGTTCAACCATACACAGAGATAAATGACTGGTGCACCATAACGACAGAGAGCCGATAACCTCAGCCGAAAGACGACGCAGTATTTCTCATAAACACATCAGGAAACCGTTGACATCATGGCTGAATATACAGGGCTCTTCGCCCTGACTGACACATCAGTTTCGTGATCATCATCGTGATCTGCGTTGTTCCTTCACACAGGTCTTCTCAGACGGGACCTTACACCACATCCTGGATGGTTTGAATGAGGAGCACAGCAACTGGATGCGTTACGTCAACCCAGCCCGTGCGGTGGAGGAGCAAAACCTGGTTGCGTGCCAGAGTGGTTTGAACATCTACTTTTACACCGTCAAAACACTGCAGCCTGGCCAGGAGCTGCTGGTGTGGTACTGCCCCGAGTTTGCTCAGCGCTGCAACTACCCTCCTCTAGGCCGACTGGCCATGGACCGCATCGGTAAGTTTGTATGTTGGAGTCTTAAAATAGGCCAGAAGTGCTGACCCGATCAAAGTCAAAACAGTAAATGGACAGAGAAAACACCTTCATTAATGTGATGCATCGTTACAACTGACCAAAACACTGGTATTTAAAAGGGCAACTTCACTTCTTGTTGCCCTTTAAAGGCACATTATGTAGAAAACATCTTCGAGCGGTTCTGTAGTCATTTTGGATTAGTGTTAGTAAATATAAGGGGCGTGTAACTTCTTCACTTCCCATGTAGAGGATTGACCAATGGTCATCAAATGTTCTGTTTAATTTGAGATTTTATTGGTAGCATTTTTTTTTTTAAGTTCCATCGCTGCCACTTATCAGGTTTATTTTCCACTGGGAAGTAGTTCTTACTATAAATATCTGAACTGCAGAACCATACAATATTCTCTGTTCTACGCTTATACATGATTTTCCAAAATGAGTTCCTGCCCTCCAGGAAGTCTCCACTTGGAGGCCTCATTAGACCTAAACCTGGTTAAAAGGAAATCAAGGGGTCGGATTAGGTTGGAGGGACAAGGAGTGACTATGATTCAGTCTAATTGTAGGTGTCGTTAACAGAAACTCTCCCTGTGCCCACGCTCTGGGGACATATCTAACACGCATTGTCACCGTGGAGCGAGGCTGGCGATCAAAGTGCCAGTCGAGCGACAGACTCTTTGTGTGTGGTTTAAGAAGTTACTCAGTCACACCCACTGTCCCTTTTGTTACCGCGGGACACAAAGGAGGAGAGTAGATTCCCCATAACAGAGAGGTCCTTTATCCCAGGTGTAGCAATACTACCAGAGTAAAGTGAGACCAATTCTGGAAGTTTGTGCAATGTTTCAGTGCCTTTAAAAAAAAAACAAAACAAAAAAAAAAACTCCACAAACTGTAGAGACACAGAGCAGGAGCTCATTCAGAAAAACTGGGCTTTCATTCATAAAAATCTATGCAAGCATGAATAGAAAGGTAGCACACACACACACACACACACACACACACACATATATATATAGTCACACACCAGCGTCTGTCTAACCCGCTGACAGCGTTTGGCACGAGGTGTCGTATTTATTTTGCTCTTATGGAGGAAAAGAGGTTGGAAGTGCTCGACTGACTGGTTGAACTTCCTGACAAGGCAACTCAGTGACAGACTGATATCTCACCGAGCGCCTGCTGTTTGTTTGCTGAGAACTCACCCCTCAGGAGAAGAATGGGGGAGGATTTCAGAAAAGAGCACATGGTAGATAAGGTGGAGGGTTGGAGGGGGGGGAGATATTGGAAAACTCTTCTCTGTTTGTCAGACGGTGGTGTGAGATCCATCTCTTTGTCACATCATGTGTGTAGATTTGAATTATGAGGCTTTGATATAGTGATAAAAACACAACAAGACTGAAGAGCTGGACGTGGCATCTGTTCCGGCTGTTTCCGTTGAGATTGAAAGTGTTCAAACTGACCAGCCCTCTGAACCAGCACCGACTCGGAGTGTCTGAACGTCCTGTATGCTATCTATATCTGGATCAAACAACCTATTGTTTCACTTCTGGTGTTCTGTTTCATGGGATGCCAGGAAGATGTCTGGTAGACAGTCACACACACACCTGATAAGAAACACAAATTGCTATCTCCTTTTCTTTAATGCACAAATGAAACTGGTCAAACCAGAGCCGGGCACTTTGAAAGTGGAGATGCGCTGCGATTACACAAAGGGACGCACGTACAAACGATCACGTCCGCGTCGCAGATATGTGTCACTTTGATGATTCTGCCGTCGCCCGTGACGTGGACTTAAATGATGACGGGCGTCACTTTTTCCAGGGGTTTAACCGTGGCCTAAAAAACACTTGACATTTCCACGTACAGTTGAATTCAGGCTTCGTTCAACTATTTTCATTTGACTGTGTCGAAATGAGTAAAAGTTCACATTCCTCTTATCTGATTTAGAGGAAAGAAAACAACGTGCGTGTGTGTCTAACAACACCTAAAAGTTCAAGCTGTGTGTCAGAATCACTTCACAGTATTTGCAGCTGAAGAGAAACAAATGCTGGTTAGCAACAGCCCTGAGGAAAAGTCGCCTATTTCTGGTTCTGAGGAAATTCTAAACCCAGAACATACTGTATGACCTTTTGGACACATAGTGTCATTTTTAACACCAGAGAGGGTAAAATGTATTCAACTTTCTGGTCGAGGTGCGAGTTTCCACTGTCAACAGAATAATTTCCTCTGTCCCTGAAGTGTTAATCACTGCTTGTTGTTTTTCTGCTCACAGAAAAGAATCAAGCGCAGGAGAAAACATCTGCGAAAAGAGGACACAGCGTTTCAGAAATCCTGCGTGATGAGCCGTCCAGATCCAAGACAACCTGCCTTGGACATTTGGACAATCCTTTGTCTCAGGAGAACCTCCCACATGTTTTCCCCCTCTGTCCTCGTGTCGTCTATCCAATCCAGACAAACTCGGAGTCTATCCATGGCCGCAGATATTCACCTTTGTCAGCCCTGCCCACATGCAGCCCCCTAGCAGCCAAACGACCAGCTCTAAGTCACCCTGTTCCCTCCATTATACACTTCAATCAAGGCTCTCTTACTGGCAACCTTTATGAAGAACCCAGTCCAGTCCACCATGCCCTCAGACCCTCTCCTTTTTATCTCCACCAGTATCCTAACAACGTTCTACCTCGAACATCCCTTTTTTGCAGCGACCGAATAAAACCCCATGCAGCTCTCTCGTCTCACCTACTGCCTTTTGATGGATACGCACGCTTTTTCCACTCACTGACCAACAGACACAAAGACTTGACTCTTGCACTATCCAGTACCAAAAAAGACCTTGTTCTTTCACCAGCCAGCGAACACAAGGACAATCAGGACCTCACATCCAACAGGACGACCTACCTCAGGACCCCCTACGATGAACGCACAGATATCAAACATTCCTCTGCGAGCAACAGGGATTCAGATGCCACTGTGCCTGCCACATCCATGGCCACCTCAGTCCCTGGAGCACTGCCATCTCTTGCCCCTGGAGGATGCTCGCCACCAGCGGGCATGGCCGCCTCCTCAGACTGCCTCCCTTCCAAACCCACGTCTGCTTCTCAGGGCAACTCCGAGGTTGCAGTAGATCTCAGGAAGACCAAACGAGGGAGGCAGATCATTGGCTACAAGACTCTGGCTTATCCTCTCATCAGGCAAAATGGAAAGATCCGTTACGAGTGTAATGTTTGTGGAAAAGTCTTCGGGCAGTTGTCCAATCTCAAGGTTAGTTTTTATATTCCATCATCTCACGGGACTGAAGAAAGCAAAAAAAAAAAACCCAAAAACTTTCATCTGATTATAATATACCTCATCATTTTTTAATTGCTGTCCTTAGGTGCATCTGAGAGTGCACAGTGGAGAACGTCCTTTCAGGTGTCAGACCTGCAGCAAAACCTTCACTCAACTGGCTCATCTGCAGAAACACTATCTGGTTCACACTGGAGAGAAACCGCACGAATGCAAGGTACGTTTTCTACTATTCTGTGAAAAATGAAAAAAATAAAAAATAAAGAGAAACCGCACGAATGCAAGGTACGTATTCTACTGTTCTGTGAAAAATGAAAAAATTATTTGTTTTATTATTCTACTATTCTGTGAAAAATGAAAAAAAAAAGTTTTATTAATATTAGTTCAGTAATGAACCTTTATTTTTTACAGGTATGTCAAAAACGCTTCAGTAGCACCAGCAACCTGAAGACCCACCAGAGGTTACACTCAGGGGAGAGACCTTATCAGTGTAAGCACTGTCCAGCTCGCTTCACACAGTTCGTCCACCTCAAGCTCCACAAACGCCTCCACACTGGTGAGAGACCCCACCGTTGCCCCCACTGCCCCTGTGCCTACCTGCACTACTGCAGCCTCCAGGTTCACCTGCAGGGCTTCTGCCCACTCTCTCCGATGATCTCTCACCGACACTCACCAGAGGAGCTGCACCGCGTCAACTCTGAGATCCAGAGGTTTGACATCAGCGAGGCAGCAGACCAACTTGAGGCCATGGCTGCAGAGGCTGAGCTGGACAAGGGGAATATTATTGCCCTAATTAAGCAAATCGAGACGAACACGTCAGGTCACAGGGGTGATGGCGGATTAAAGACTGAGCTGAACACCTGCAAATCCGCCAAGGACTTGCCGGTGACTCTGACGCAGCACGGAAGCCATTTACCTCTGCATCAGACCAGGATCAAACTGGAGACAAGCTGCATTTCAAAGGCCTAAGAAAGTCCTTCTAATCCAGCCACATAATCCTCACGGGTCAATTTGGTAGCGCTCGGTCACTGCCCTATTTGAAGTAAAGCCTTATCTCAGTCACGGATTGACTGTAGCCTGAACAGAAAAACCATAACATTTGAAGCATAAATATTTAAAAGGTCTGCAACCACTGATTTATTCTCTAATTTATTCTGTTACTTAAATGAATTCAAAGTGTATACAACAAAACGTGTGACTTTCTGTATTTTTATATATATATATAAGATGTGTATGTATACATAGCCGTACAATATTTTCTTTTTTTGCATTTGTGGCTACGCTGTGTAAAACCTACGTGTCTGTATATTTAAGTCTTCTAATTAAAGTTACACTTCACTCAGAGTTTGTAGCGTAAGTGAGCCGTGTAATCACTCAGAGGAAGCCTCAGCTTCTTTGTCTGCACTGTCACATACCTGCCTTTGTCTGAGTGTGATGTGCTGAAGTGGGAGAGGGTGGAAAGGTGACGTGGGTAAACATCCTGTTATGACTCTTGGAATACTCCACACCAGTAAGTGTTAGCTCTTTTACCCTGAGAACACACAGACAGAAACACACACAGATGATGTACTGGTTTTAACCTCTGGGATCTACCAGCAAACTCTGTACTTGCTCTGAGTTATTTGGTTTCGCTCTTCATCAGATGACTGACACCGAGTCAGTAACAGATGACTGTACATTATTTCAGATAAAGAAGCGAAATAAATTAAGCTACAGTAGTTCTTGTTCTGACTTCACCATCTAAGAAAACACTGAAGCATTTGTGCATATTTAGATGTGCAGCGCCTTCCAGACAAAAAAAAAAAAAAAAAAAGTTAAAAATGGATATTTACCTTAAATGTATATTGAACAGTGTGTGCCTGAACAGGCTGTTCAGGCACACACTGACTTCCTGTGTATCCACTGAACCTGGGCTTTGACGGCCGTGTGTCCACAAGTGACATAGATGACAAAGTACACAACAGGAATCCTCACTGACGGGGCAGGTTCTCTCATCTGGTCACTGCAGGACAACAGCTACGTCCCAGTTTTCTTCCATCACTGTGAGAGAAACCATCACAAAATAAATATTCTTACTTACAGAATAATACTAACTTCATGTAACCTGTCTGAAACAGACGTTTTTTTTTAAAAAAAAAAAGAAGCTGTAAGGTCACAGAAATATAATATCCCCATCATGTGTCAATTTAACATGTAGTTTGACTCTACTATATTTGATATCTGGTTATATGACCTGCCATATCAAAATCCAAGCAGCCGTGATGCTTCTGGGTATAACCCAGATAAAGCTGGCTGAAAAAAAAAAAAAAAAAAAAAAAAGAGTTCAAGGTCAGGGGAGCATCTGCCTAAAATTGGTAAAAAGGCTAATAAAATAAATCATGTTTTTATTGTGACAGTGTTACTATTGACTTTATATATTTTCCATTGTTAGAAAAATAAATACGGTCTAATGTGTGCCCCCGGGCCGTAGTTTGAACACACCTGGTGCCAAGTTACACAGGTGATCAGTGTACAGTGACACTGATCTGAGAGCTGTGCCCCTTTAACACTGTACAGTGACGTCATAGATCTGTCGACGGTGGGCAGCGTGAGGAGAAGGAGGAGAGGGCGGAGGAGACATAGAAGGGATCGGATGTAGTCTGTGTGGAAAGATGTCGAGGACCACCATGTCTCCACCGCCCTGCAGCCTCCTCGCATCATGATAAACGCTGCCGGGGCTTTTGCCCGCAGGGTGCCCTCCGCCGCTGCCGCCGCCGCGGCCCGGAGGAGGAGACGGAACGGCGGCTGCTGGATCGCCTGGTGCCAGGCGATGCTGCTCGCGGTGTCGGCGCTGGTCATCGTGGCCGAGCGCACCTCCCGTAAGTCCACAGACGCCGCGGTGCTGACAACGATTATGTTAGGGACAGGAATAAAAGAAAAAGAATTCGTGCTGAAAAGTAACGGTTTTCTCTTGAATTGCACGGTACATTCAGAGCGAACCGCGCAGCAGCAGCAGCAGCAGCAGCAGCAGCCTCTGCTCAGCCATGATGCTCGTAGCCAGTCGTTAAGGATGCTGTCACAAAGACATTTCTACACAATCGATTAATCTGACGGTGTTTATTCAATGCGCTGAGATGTATCGTTTTACCC